CCTAAAAATCCGATTCTGGGCGAAATACGGGCTGAATTCCGGTCGTAAACATGGTCTACCCGTATTTCACCCAAAACGCGCGTTTCACTTAACACTGATGAGGGGAATTACGGTCGTCATTACCCAATTACTGCTAGTATTCATGGAATTACGACCGTAATTCATTTTGCTCTTGCCTGTTTTTTGCTCTTCGATAGACATTCTCAAGGACTTGGCTTGGCATTCGAATTACGGTCAGGGCAGTGGCAATTATGCCCGTAATTGTGCAGGGGATGCCCGTATTTTGAATCTTGAATTGCCAACTGACCTCCAAATGACCCAAAACTTGCGCCTATGCATCCCTTTACTCGCTAGGACCTGAGATACGACAAAACAACACAACCTAGCATAAAATAGGCCAAGGAACCACAAATCCATGCTAAAATGGTCAGGAAACAAGAGTGCAACATGTGCAAATACGATGCTATCAACACACATCTTCACATAACCATTAACCACATCTCATTCATCCATTAGTCATCACATTCATCACATATCACTTCATTCACATCGTCATTATATCATCCATCACATAATGTAATCGACCCATTCATCACATTATCTGAATATCATCCTTAATCTCATCTTCCGTAATCCTGTGCATCATATTTGGATCGCTTCATGACCTGAATACCATATTCATATTAATATGGTTAGAGATTATAATTTACTCACCCCTTGTTTACTTAGTTGTACACTTTTTTCTTGGACGACTCTCCGCCTTGCTCCTTTCCTTATGTACTTTCTGACCCTTTGTTAGCCCTTTGTCCCCGTTAAGCTGCTCCTCTTTTATCTCAGGAAGAAGAAGGTCTCGAGCGATCAAGGAATTTATTTCGGATGGAGGAAAGAAACAAATCTCTCTTGAATTTTTTTTCCGGATCTATGTATAATGCATTTATCTCTCTATATTATTCCCTCCACCAACTCTAGAACCATCCATTAGTCTGTTCCTCTTATTCATAGTTGGCCTCCCCAATAATTATATATATTACACATGTTGTTTGCTTGAGAAAAGGTGGCAATTCATCACACATTAGGAACATATAATTAATTAAAAGATGACAAATGTTGGTTAAGTATTTCAGTGGAGGGTTACAACTCTAAGTAGGTTTGGTGTCTTATCCAACTAGTTAAAAGGCACATGAGTTGTGGGAACCAAGTCTTTCCTAACTAGTTTATGGATATCAACTTCAAATGATGTTGTTTTTGTTCTATAAGGTCAGTAACTTAACTAGGGTATGAAACTCCATAACCCTTTGTGAAAACGGGTTCTAGATACCAGCCAAACTTAATCATGTACAGATACATATTCTACTTCTCAAAGCAAATTAATCTCTATTGAGTTGTAATAGCTAACTAATACCCTCCTGAATGTCTCCACGAGCTGATTGTTTATTAACAGTGATCAATGTTACATTTCTTGAACATAACATGCTTATTAAATGAACCCAAGAGAGTAAGGATGTGACATTCATCATCTATTATGTGCTACTATAGTGTTGTTTATAATATCATCATATGTTCCATGGTAAACCCAACGTATATGATATGCCATTGTCTTAGGTGTGTATGGAATGGAATGATCAATCATCTATACTCGACTATGTCTTATGCTTGATACCCTAGATCATCAATGTTATAGACAATTATTATGGTGAATAGATGCCCTAAATAGTTAATATGCTATACATACTTCCTCGATTGATTAGTCTTGTTGCATGAAGCGAAAGCACACATTAGCTAGTCACAATTCCTATTGCATGAAGTGAAAACTTGAGTATGATGGCTTTAGTGGAAGAGATAGGGATACATAATAGAAGATGCATGATTGATATCATTATTGACATTGAAATCAATGATCATCTAGGATTAGCTTTCTTATCAACGCGTACATTTACTGTCTTGTCATTCAAATGTCATCTAACAATATTCTGAGTTTACAGCATTGAATGTCATCTTAGCATGATAAACCTTTTAGCCACTATGAGGTATGCATTTTTCTTTGCCTCTCTTCCAGCAAAATCACTTCAAATGCTAGGTTGAGCTTCTGGTGTTGTTCTTGAAGCACAGAAACTTCTTGGAGGTTTTCACATTGTTCAACTTGTGCTGATTTGCTCCTCCAAATCATCAATATCTTCATTTCGATTACTTGGAACAACCTCTGGTTTAGTATACCCTTCAAGCAAACACTTGAAACTCTCACGAATGTCATGATTAACTTTAGGATAAAGAATATATTCACCTTTTTGTCCAGCCAAATGTTGTTTTAACATGTTAATTCCTCTCCCTTTTATCACATGCTACACAATTAACGTTTGTTCCGCAACTTTCCAATTTATGAGATGATTTGCTCGACATACTCCCAAGTTGGATCCTCTTTTTGTCTATACCCACTACACGCATCATTGCTATCAATAGATTGTTGCGTTGATTCATTGTCAGACACCATTTTCATAAATTGAAAATTAAAAGAAAATTGTAACAAATTTTCTATTTATGAATTTTGTGGCTGCCAACTCCATTTCTTGCTGCAAAACTCTATCCAACTCTACCTTCATTTGATTAAAAAATAACAAGGCATCATTCAATATACCATCATTAGCATAACCATCAATCATTCCATCCAAAAAGTCAATTAATTGGCAAAGGAATTGGTGTTGTACTGCCGGAATCTAAAATCATTAGTGCAACTATTAATCATAAAATAACTCAATCTCGTACTACCAGAATCTGGTACGGTGCCTCCCTATCTTGCCTACTCATCAACAAGGCTACATTTCTTGCACAAGGAATTGGCAGAGGAGGCAGAGTCTTACTTTCATGGTCATTGACGACTAGGATCTGAAAGATGGTGGCGAACGAGAAGCTGGGGCGATAACAGAGGCATGTGGCCAGGGGCGAAGTATGAAGAGGAAGAAGGTGATTAAAGACCAAGGCGTGATTGTTATTGACGACCAAGAGCGGGAAGATAGCGGCGAGAACATGGGTGACGTCCTACAGAGCTACTATGAAGACCGTTGGAGACGACGTTGGCAAGAACTAGAGTAGCTCTCTGTTGCTGCTGGGTGTGGCTATACAAGAAAGAGTGAAGACCAAAGAAGAGGGAGAGTCGAATAGAGTTTTACGCAAGTGGCTCTGTCGAAAGGAAATGTGATGGCATTCCACTCGCCCGAGTTTTGGTCGGGTTTTAGCTAGTTTGACTAATCTGGACGAAGTCCAAAACTGGTGTGTGGCACCCATTTTTCCCACCAAGTTCGGGTCAATCCGAGTGAACAACCTTTATGAATTGGCAGTGAAAACACTCTTCCTGTTGGCGACAAGTTGCCACCACTTCCTTCATTTCAAGCCTCGATGGTGGTGTCATGGCAATGGTTAATTAATTCCCGTAAAAAGATCACTAATCTTTTTTTATAAATCATTTTCTAAGTAAATAATTTAGTTTAAAGTGGCTAGTATAAGAACCCAATATGTACCCTATGTGTACATCAATTCCATGATAAAAAAATGGTTATCATTATCACACAAACCTCTTAAGTTTGACTATCTTGTCATTGTTAAAAAATGGTTATATTTGCCAACATTAAACTTTTTTCCTAAACTAGGATTGATTTTCTGCCGATTCAACGGTTACAGGTCAACCATTAACCATTTAACAGTTACCATAAACCAAAACCAGTAACCAACTACATGTTATAATCAGTCCAAACCTCATAACCGGGAAAACCCACTCGTCAGTCATCGATCACCATCATTCTTCATTCACAAAATCACCCTACTATATCCATGCCTGCCCAATAGATTAACATCACATGCTATTATTCTTGACCAAGTAATCGGGGTATATAGTTTGATTACTCGGTTAACCGAGTAGCCGGAGATTATTAATTCGAGTAATTGATCAAATTATAGTTACCATTAATTAAACCCCAAAATTTTACACGATTATCAATGAACTATTAACCATATATCATCCCTAGAATATATAGATAGTAACAAGAACGAAGCAAGAGGTTGGTCTAGTGCTAGCCTAAAACCTGGAGTTCCCAGGTTCGAATTCACTAAGTAGCAAATTAATCACGAAATAAAATATATATATATATATATCACCCTTATAAAAAAATAGATAGTAACAAGAATGGAAGATATGTGTCCATCATATATAATTCATATTAATGCAAAAATCGCAATGCATTTTCCACACCCTCGGTTTAGGAAAATCGATCATGGTTTACCACTTACAACGCCTCGAGTAGGGCTGCAAACGAATCGAGTCGAGTTTTTGCTTAGTTTGAGCTCGACTTGTTTATAAATTTTTCAGCTCGAGCTCAGCTCGAATTTTTATAATCCAACTCGAGTTCGAGCTTGGCTCGATTAAAAATAACCCAGTTCGAGCTCGATAAATCGGCTCAAGATGAGCTCTATTTGGAATCATTATTGCTGAAAAATGTGTACACATAAGAATTTTGAATGGTAAAATAGCACTAGAAACTAAAAATAACAGTTAACTTCCACACATATTAGTATTAACAAGATAATGTTCATGTTTAAAAGAGAATTAATCCTTCACAAGCTCTAAACAAATTAGCTTGCGAGCTTAAGTCACCAAGCCACCGAGTCAAGCTAGCTCACGAGCTTATCAAGCTAAGCATGGTCTAACTCAAGCTTGACTCGTTTACTAACAAATCGGCTCGCGAACCGTCTTGTTAAATAACTAGTCAAGTGTCGAACGATCTTTTTCTAATTCGAACATTGAGTTGCTTACGAGCGACTTACCTCATTTGTGGCCCTAGGTAAAACAAAATCCTAAACAGAAAAAATAGTCAAATCCAGGGCACATGTATATTTATGAATCCCACCGGAAAAAAAGAAAAACACAGGGGGCAAATAAACGTAGCAAATGTAAAAAAGAAACCCACACTATCAACACGTATAAAATGTCGAAACACTCGTCTTCCTCCTTCTGCACTTTTTATTCCCGGAGCCCCTTCTCTCTTTAGGGTTTCTTCTCTTACAGTTCCATCAATTCTCTCGTTAACCTCGCCAATCGAAAGCCATTCTGGAGCCGGTGAAACCTCCAATTCGTTTCTTTCTCGTACAGTTTCTTAGGGTTTCAGATTTGGGATTTGCGTTCGCGATTGCTTTGTTAGTTTGCTTTCTGGTTCTTTTACAAGAATTACTTGTTTTCAGTTCCGGGGGCAAATTTCTGGTTCGATTCGGCGTGCGAGCTTTTACCGGATGCAGGAAATTCTCGATACCGGATCCGTCGCCGCGTGATCGCGCGACCACGGATTCAATCGGGGCGTTTTAGTTCTTGTATGGAAACTCGGAGCCGGAAGCGGGCGGAGGCCTCCTCAGCAGCCCCTTCTTCTTCTTCCTCTTCCGCGCCTTCTTCCTCCGGTCCCACCACCCGCTCACAGAAACGCTCCCGCCTCTCTGCCTCCACCACTGCCGCCGCCGCTGCTGCCACCACCACTGCTTCTTCTCTCACCGTCACTGCTACTGCCGGTGCCTCACCCGCTACTGTCCCTACTCGTTCTCGCGTCTCTCGAGCTCAGCAGCCTGCTGCTGCCATGGAACCTACAACCAATCCTGTCGAATCGTCTTCCTCGTCCAGGTCGCGCCGGAGTCGAGGCGCTGAATCTGCCGACAAAGGGAAGGAGAAGGAGCATGAGGTTAGGGTTCGAGAGAGTAATAGGGAGGCTAGAGAGAGGGATAGGGATGGCTTAGGGATAAATATGGAAGGTGGTCGGAATAGTACCCGGAATGATGAGGATGATGATAATGATAGCGAGGAGGGTGGTGGAATTGGGGCTTTCCACCAGAATTTGACCTCCGCAAGCAGTGCACTACAGGGTCTCCTGCGAAAGCTGGGAGCCGGACTAGACGATCTCCTGCCCTCTTCGGCAATGGCCTCAGCTTCGTCTTCGCACCAGTCTGGTAGATTGAAGAAGATTTTGTCCGGGTTGAGAGCTGATGGTGAAGAAGGAAAACAAGTGGAGGCATTGACCCAGCTTTGTGATATGCTGTCAATTGGAACTGAGGACTCGTTGAGTACTTTCTCAGTGGATTCTTTTGTACCTGTTCTAGTTGGTTTGCTGAATCACGAAAGTAATGCAGACATTATGCTGCTTGCCGCTAGAGCAATCACACATTTGTGCGACGTGCTGCCTTCTTCATGTGCTGCTGTTGTGCATTATGGTGCGGTTTCTTGTTTCGTTGCAAGGTTGCTTACTATCGAATATATGGACTTGGCTGAACAGGTTTGTTTTGTTGCTCTTGGCTAGCTGACTTTATTCCCTGATTTACTTTCTTTAAGATATCTTTATAGCAGCTGTATGGAATATAAGCACTCCTCACTTGCATTGCTCTGTTTTGAATCTGGTTGGTATCACTTAAACAGTCCCTGCAAGCATTAAAGAAGATATCTCAGGAGCATCCCACTGCCTGCCTTAGGGCTGGAGCTCTAATGGCTGTGCTTTCTTATTTGGATTTCTTTTCTACTGGGGTCCAGGTAAATATTTGCTTAAGTGTTTCCCAATTTGACATCGTTCGTCCAGGCTGATGGGGGATGACAAGGTGTTCTCTTCTCCTATCTTTTGCGTTCTTTAGAGAGTGGCACTGTCTACCGCTGCAAATATGTGCAAGAAGCTTCCTTCAGATGCTGCTGACTTTGTGATGGAAGCAGTACCGTTGCTCACAAATCTTCTTCAGTATCATGATGCTAAGGTAAGGGTGTAGTTTTGAGGAAGTCAGTGCTGTCAATTCATTTGCGACCTTGGGTAACATAATGCGATACACGTTTTTAGGTGTTGGAGCATGCCTCTGTTTGTTTGACTCGTATTGCTGAAGCCTTCGCTTCATCACCAGAGCAATTGGATGAACTCTGTAATCATGGACTGGTAACCCAAGCTGCAGAGCTCATCTCCACTAGTAATGTTGGAGGAGGACAGGCATCCTTGAGCCCGCCTACATATACTGTAAGATTGGTGGCAAGTCTTTTCTGCTGTTATTGCATTTTGATTCTCTCAGTCTGACATGTGTATTGGCGCAGGGATTAATTCGGCTACTCTCAACATTTGCGAGTGGGTCTCCTCTAGGTTCTAAGACTTTGCTGCTTCTTGGAATCAGTAGTACTCTCAAAGATATATTGTTGGGTACTGGTGCTTCTGCTAATGCATCTGCTCCAGCTCTGAATAGACCAGCAGAGCAGGTATTGTGCAGTTCATGTTTTTCTGTTTTGTCCCCCCTTCCCAGGCTGTTTTCTTGCTTAGAATCAATCTGGACTCTTACATTGACTAATATTGGTGTTAAATGTCTTGGATCCTTGGTAACACAAAAAAAATCATTCTCCTGCTTACCCAGGTGTTCGAGATTGTTAACCTTGCAAATGAGCTTCTTCCGCCTCTTCCACATGGATCAATATCCCTTCCTGTGAGCTCAAATATATTGGTGAAAGGTCCTCTTATTAAGAAATCCAGTACCAGCTCTTCTGGAAAGCACGATGAAGCAAATGGAGATGCTACCGAGATGTCAGCAAGAGAAAGATTAATTAATGATCAACCCAATTTGCTTCAGCAGTTTGGAATGGACCTCCTTCCTGTTCTAATTCAGGTTGGTGTGTTGCTCAACTTGTGTCATGCATTTGGCTGTTGTTAACAGTCTCATAGTAGTTTTGGTTTTTTTGTCATCCAGACCTATGGTTCTAGTGTCAACAGTCCTGTACGTCATAAATGCCTCTCTGTTATCGCAAAGTTGATGTACTTCAGCAGTGCAGAGATGATTCAGTCTTTGCTGAGCTCAACAAACATATCTAGGTATGTGTTAGACTTCAGTATGCACACAAGCTAGGTGAATTTGTAATTTAATTTATGCATGATGCTTCCTATTGCAGTTTCTTAGCCGGCGTTTTGGCATGGAAAGATCCACATGTATTGGTTCCTTCACTCCAGATAGCTGAGATTCTGATGGATAAGCTCCCAGGGACCTTCTCAAAGGCTTTCATCAGGGAGGGGGTGGTTCATGCCGTTGATCAGCTTATCTTAGCTGGTCCAAACACTACTATTCCTGCAACCCCCCTTCCTGCCGAGAAAGACAATGATGCAGCCTCTGGGGCGTCATCACGATCTAGGCGTTATAAGCGTCGCACTGGCAACCCAAATCTTGATGGGTCAGAAGACTCTAAGGATCCAGTTTCTGCTAATATTGGATCGCCTCCGAGTTCTGTTGAAATTCCATCAGTGAATTCCAGTTTACGTGTGGCTGTCAGCACATGTGCTAAAGCTTTCAAGGACAAGTACTTCCCTTCTAATCCCGGGGCCACTGATATTGGGATCACAGATGATCTCTTGCATCTGAAGAATCTTTGCTTGAAGTTAAATGCTGGTGTGGATGACCAGAAAGTTAAAGGAAAAGGAAAATGCAAAGTTTCTGGATCTCATTTTACTGAGTTGTCTCCTGAAAAGGAAGAGTACTTGATCAACGTGTTAACTGACTTGCTGGCAGAACTGAGCAAAGGGGATGGAGTATCCACTTTTGAATTCATTGGAAGTGGTGTTGTAGCTGCACTGCTGAACTACTTTTCTTGTGGTCATTTTTCAAAGGAAAGGATATCTGAAGCTAACCTTCCTAAGCTTCGGCAACAAGCACTCAGACGATTTAGGTCCTTCATATCTGTTGCTCTTCCCTCTGATATTCAAGAAGAGAGCCAAGCTCCTTTGAGTGTCTTGGTTCAGAAGCTTCAAAGTGCTTTGACATCCTTGGATCGTTTTCCAGTCGTTCTGAGCCATTCATCTAGATTATCTAGTGGAAGTGCACGTCTATCTTCTGGGTTAAGTGCTCTGACTCAACCTTTCAAGTTACGCCTGTGTCGTGCGCAAGGCGAAAAATCGCTTAGGGATTATTCTTCAAATATTGTACTTATTGACCCATTAGCAAGTTTAGCATCCGTTGAAGCATTTCTTTGGCCCCGTGTTGATCGAGGTGAATCTGGACAGAAGCAGTCGCCTTCTGCTGGAAACTCTGACTCTGGTACAACGCCCGCAGGTGCTGCCGAGACATCTCCATCTACCTCTACACCTGCTTCAACTGCACGTCGCCACTCTACAAGGTCCAAGGCATCTGTTAATATAGGAGATTCTTCCAAAAAGGAACCAGTGCAGGAGAGAGGGACAAGCTCATCAAAAATGAAGGGCAAGGCTGTCTTAAAATCTCCCCAGGATGAGACCAAAGGTCCCCATACGAGGAATGCTTCCCGTAGAAGAGCAGTCGTTGATAAAGATTCACAGATGAAACCGCTGGATGGTGATTCTAGCTCGGAGGTATAGTATAACTTTGTCATAATAGTACCGGTTGGGATCTGTGAGTGCAAATTCAGGATGCCTTGTTTGACTTACATTCCCTGGTGATAGGATTATCTGTATATTACATTAGGGTTTGGAATGCTAAATAAGTTCAAATATATATTACCCTTATAACCTTCTTTTTTACTTTGTTTCCTAGGATGAAGAACTAGAGATCTCTGCAGTTGAGCTCGATGATGAACTGGTGATTGATGATGGTATGTCAGATGATGAAGATGACGAGCAGGAAGATGTATGTTATCTTAATCTCAAATCCCTCCTATAGGAACTTGACTTTTGGTTCCTCTTGCATTTGTTTCTTGTTATTGTTGTTGTACCTGTACAGTGGCTTGACGTGCCATGGAATAAAGAGAGTGTGAAAGACATCTGATGCCATTAGTATGTTGTAGGAGCAATTAGAGGCTTAAATTAATGAGTTTGGAGCATGTACTTATGCAGCTAACCTCTTGTGGTCTTCGGAAGATCACTGGATGCGTTTAGTAAACTTTTGGTGGTTATTTTTAGGATAGCTGCATCTATGCTTGGAAGTTATCACCAGTTATATTCATAAGTACCAAAGTGGGTCTGGTAGTTTTCCTTTAGTTTCAGTTGCCTGATTTTAAAGTCTTTTTCACCTTTATTCTTCTGTACAGGTGTTGAGAGATGATTCTCTTCCTGTCTGCATGCCTGAAAAGGTGCATGATGTAAAATTAGGTGATGCACCCGAAGATACTACTGTTGCTTCGGCAACAAATGACGGCGACCATTCTCATCCAGCTCCTGGTTCTAGTAGCAGCCGTGGTGCTGGTGGTAGGGCCTCTGATTCTGCTGATTTAAGAACTGGTCTTTCCTATGGTTCTAGGGGTGCTATGTCCTTTGCTGCTGCGGCAATGGCTGGGCTTGGTTCTGCTGATGCTAGGGGTATCAGAGGAGTCAGAGACAGACAAGGGCGCCTTTTGTTTGGTGGCTCCAATGATCCAGCAAGGTTGATCTTCACTGCAGGTGGGAAGCAGCTCAATAGGCATTTAACCATATATCAAGCCATCCAGCGACAGCTCGTGCTGGATGAGGATGAGGATGATAGATATGCTGCTAGTGATTTCGTCTCCAGTGATGGAAGCAGACTTTGGAGTGATATATACACTATAACTTATCAGAGAGCTGACAGCCAAAGTAATAAGGCCTCTGGTGGTGGTGGATCAAATGCTACTACTCCTTCCAAATCCGGGAAAGCTACAGGTTCTTCTGGTGCAAAATCTGATATGCAACTGCATCAAATGTCACTTTTAGACAGCATATTGCAGGGTGAACTTCCATGTGATCTTGAGAAGTCCAATCCTACCTATAACATATTAGCACTGCTTCGAGTCTTGGATGGTTTGAACCAGCTTGCATCTCGTCTGAGGGCACAACTAGTTTCCGACAATTTTGCAGAGGGTAAAATCACGAGTTTGGATGAGCTTACTGCTTCTGCTGTCAAGGTCCCTACTGAAGAATTCATCAACAGCAAGCTCACTCCTAAACTAACCCGACAAATGCAGGATGCCCTTGCATTGTGCAGTGGTAGTCTTCCTTCTTGGTGTTACCAGTTGACCAAGGCGTGCCCATTCTTGTTTCCCTTTGAGACTCGCCGGCAGTACTTCTACTCAACTGCTTTTGGATTGTCTCGTGCTCTGTATCGCCTTCAGCAGCAGCAAGGTGCTGATGGGGGAGGGGCGTTTAATGAGAGAGAGGTTAGAGTTGGAAGGTTGCAGCGTCAGAAGGTGCGTGTTTCGAGGAATCGCATTCTGGATTCTGCTGCTAAAGTAATGGAGATGTATTCTAGTCAGAAAGCGGTGCTTGAGGTAGAGTATTTTGGGGAAGTTGGTACAGGACTGGGTCCCACACTAGAGTTCTATACCCTTTTGAGTCATGATTTACAGAAGGCTTCACTTGGGATGTGGAGGTCCAATGAATCATCATCGTCTGAGAAGTCTCCAATGGAAGTTGATGGGAATGAGAAGCTTGTTCATGCTCCACTGGGTTTGTTCCCTCGGCCATGGTCTCCAAATGCAAATGCCTCTGAGGGTAGTCAGTTGTACAAGGCTGTCGAGTACTTTCGTCTCGTTGGTCGTGTGATGGCCAAAGCTCTTCAGGATGGGCGACTTTTGGACTTGCCATTTTCTACAGCTTTCTACAAGATTGTCTTGGGTCAAGTAAGCTGATTGCAGCAGTCTTCTTTCAATTGTTTTTTATTGTGTGTGGGATTACTGACCGAAAAATTGAATTTCTTTGATTTTGACAATACAGGATCTTGATTTGTATGATATTCTTTCTTTTGATGCTGAGCTTGGGAAGACGCTGCAAGAACTGGATGCCATTGTTTGTAGGAAGCGTTATTTGGAATCCTCGGGGAACAATGTTGCTGTTACTGATTTACGATTCCGTGGGGCTAAGATTGAAGATCTGTACTTGGATTTTACTCTTCCTGGTTATCCAGACTACATTCTGAAGACAGGGGGAGATCAAACTGTATGATCCAAAGTCATTCAGACGAAGATTCCTTTGTACATTGAGTGCCATTCGGAGTTCTGCTGTTAGGTTTTCTTCTTTCCTGAAATAAACTCCCTATTCCCTTGTGCAGGTTGTTGTCAGTAACTTGGAGGACTATATATCCTTGGTAGTAGACGCAACTGTTAGGACCGGAATAACCCGCCAAATGGAAGCATTCAGGGCTGGATTCAATCAGGTGAGCTTCATTCTACACCTCAGTTGGTTTGATGAATTCAAGTGCCTTCAATTTGAGTTTTCTAACCTTTCATAGTTCCTGCTGTTGTACTCTAGGTGTTTGATATTGCATCACTGCAAATATTTTCTCCACTAGAACTGGACTACTTGCTTTGCGGGCGCAGAGAGCTGTGGGAGGTAATTTAGTTATACCATACACCCTTAAATTCAATTTTCTTTTTTCCTTAAGGTGGTAGCTAAATCAAGCTACTTTTGGCTGTTGTGCAGGCTGATACCCTTGTCGATCACATCAAATTTGATCATGGTTACACTGCCAAGAGCCCTGCAATCATTAACGTACGCCTGCTGCTATCTCATTACGGGAGGGTTTTTCGTTGCTTGTTGAGGTTTTTTTCTTTCTGATTGTCTGAGTTTCTCTTTTTTGTTATTCTATAGTTACTTGAGATTATGGGAGAGTTCACGCCAGAGCAGCAACGAGCCTTTTGTCAGTTTGTTACTGGTGCACCAAGGCTTCCTCCTGGGGGTCTTGCTGTGTTGAACCCTAAGTTGACCATTGTGAGAAAGGTACAGTTACTTGAGTCCATTGCTTTCTTGAAACTTCATTATGGTCTCTGTACTTTCATGCCTCTGGCTCTAATTACCGCCTCGTGCAGCATTCTTCAACTGCGACAAACCCACCTGCTAATGGGACAGGGCCTTCGGAATCGGCAGATGATGACTTGCCTAGTGTGATGACCTGTGCTAATTACCTCAAGCTTCCTCCTTACTCTACAAAGGTATAGTTTTTTTTCTTCTTTTTTGGAATAATACAAAGGTATAGTTGGTGTAGAGCATTTGCTTATTTAGAATTGTCTTGACGTACTGTTTAGAGCAGTATTCTAACTTGGGGTGTCTGCCGCGTCTTGAACAGGAAATAATGTACAAGAAACTGGTCTATGCAATCAACGAAGGGCAGGGATCATTCGACTTGTCTTAAGCTTTTCCACTAACTTGCAACTCCCATGAACGAGAAAGAAAGCAAAACTGTGTATAGTAGTGAGGAATGAAGATAGAGAGTTATCTGGAGGGTTATCTTCTGCTCAATAATGGCATCGTTTCCCTCCTGCAATTTAATTTGTTTGGCTGTCAATCAAGGTCAGTCAGTCGCCTAATTTTATTCAAAGGCTGTGCCGTCTGGAGATTGGCTAACTTTCTAGCAATCAATTTTCTTATAAATCTTGGATCGTGCTTTGCAATTGTGATTTACTGCCTACTGTTGTGTCCAGGTTGTGGATCGGTGTTGGGTTTTCGAAAAGGCTGTGAAGAGGGATGTTTGCTAAAAACGGACTTATTACTTAGATCTGCTGCCAATGTAAATACTAAATAATAAAAAAGGAAAAGAATAGTGGTTTTATTAGCATTTAGGAACGCCTGTATTTAGTTGCAAATCGTGAAATTTTCGTATCCTTTCTTTGATATTATCATCTACCCCCCAGCTTTTGGTTTCCATTTGCCTTTGATGCCCAACTGGTTTACCTGTTTTTGCCCTGAAACAAAACAAGAACAATAAAGATAAATGTATCAGTACGTGTCTTATACTACAGCCTGCCCCGAAAATCAAATCCGATATAAAAGAGGGTTTTTTTATCCATCGCTATCTTATTGTTCTTCTTATCCACAAACTGAATGTTTAACCCCTCCAAGCAATGATGCAACTTGGCAAAAATTACTTCCCTTGCATCATTTGTACATCTGACATTCACCTTGTCGATTACTACCTTCGCGCCCCTCGCAAATACGAACCCGCTAGGATTTGAGCTAAAAATACCATCTCATAGCATCCCTAAGAGTCTATCCACCTGCTCCATGAGACCCAGAACATATAGCTTCATCAAAAGAACATTCACCTTGGATATACTCCAAGCACCAAAGGGAAGTTCCTTTATCTGGCGTAGCATCAATAAAGCTACTCCCATCCTTCGCCAAGGATGTGCGTGGAACATTCGAAATGGTTTGAGCACTAAATTTTGGACCGATATTTGGGTTTTGCAGGTTCCCCTTCTCCAAGTCGCAAATTCTGCAATCCCAGAAGACATGCTTAGCACTTGTGTTGCTGACTACATCGACGAGGATGGAAGATGGAACAAGCCAAGCTTCGACCATTTACTCCCTCAGGAGGTGACAGACAAGATAACGGCTTTGGCAGTAGATCGACTCTCCTCGGCAAATGATAGATTGTTCTGGAGAGAAACATCAAATGGCCACTTCTCTACAAAGACAACATACAGTTTAGTACACTCGGCTACTACCACGGTGGATATGACTACGGAACCCCCTTGGAAGATCATTTGGAAGCTGTCGTTACTGGAGAGAGTGCGCACTTTTGTTTGGCTCCTTTGCTCAGAAAACTTAATACTCGGGCACGGCTGCACTCAAAGCTCATTGCTCCCACGTCTAGCTGTCTTCGCTGCAACAACAGATTGGAGAATCACATTCACATATTCCAGGATTGTACAGTCGCCAAATATCTATGGAAGAAGATAGTTCCTCAGCATAAGCAGTCTGCTTTCTTTGCACAGCCTGACAGTATGTGGCTGCAAAGCAATCTTACTAGCAACGACACATGTCCACATGGAACTCCATGGGTTGCTTTTTTTGCAATTGCCGCTTGGACACTTTGGAAGCAAAGAAATGAGCTTACTTTTCATGGAACGGGTAAGGTGCTGTCTTTTCCCACTCTCACCAATGTTATCTCATCTACGGCAAGCTTATGGAAAGCATGGAATTCTCCAAGTCCCAAGCTCAATGGAAAGCAACCAACAGTTGGAAGAACCATGACTCAAATCAAATGGAACCCGCCACCATATGGTTGGTATAAGTTGAACATAGATGGAGCTGCCATGGGTAACCCAGGACTTGCATGAGCTGGAGGCTTACTTAGAGACAACAATGGGGTATGGATCAAAGGATTCCTCTACAGGATAGGAAATAGCTCAGCAATCTTAGCAGAACTTTGGGCGATAAAGGAAGGGCTAAGCATGGCCTAGAACAATGGTATACGTGACATTATCCTTGAGGAAGATTCCTTGGTTGCAAAGGATCTGATAGAGCATCGCAGCGACTTGATTCACCCCCATGCTACCATTCTTGAGATCATTCGACGCAAGATTGCACAACGCTGGTTGGTTCGCATTTGTCATACGTACCGTGAGGGGAATAGAGTCGCGGACTAGCTCTCAAAGCACAGTCTCGTCTATCCCTTCGGGTCGCATGAACTTGCACATCCACCACCCGCACTCTTGCAGATCATCAACGATGACATCCAGGGGGTTAGTTTTCCCAGAACCATTGTTTCAAGTAATACCACGTGCATCTTTTCCCCTCCTACCCTACTATAATCTTCTCTCTGGCTAACGCCTCCAATTAATAATAATAAAAAATCGAAAGAACAACCATTTATGTTGGATTCTCTGAACTAGGATTCAATCCACTACTAGACCTTCATCCGACCAAGAACCCGGTCCAATTCCTCTACCCAAGCCATCAACTGGCGCCCAAGGACGTTAACGAGCACCTAATGTCCCTCAAAGACCACCATGCTCCATACCTTCCACACAAGTCAGAGGACAAATTATGCAAATTGTTTTACCTGTTTCGATAGATGTAGTTGCGAGTTGCAGGACCTTGCAGCTGAATTGCGAGTTGGAATCAATCGTCTTATTATCCGATAACTTAAGTCAACCATTCTCATGTTCTAATTCAGTTGTTGTACAACTACTCAACTAGCACGATAGTACTTCACGTTTGTAGTAAAGATCGAGCTCACTGCCTATTGGGACACTCCTAGGTATAAGTATATATGTTCTCCCTGTTTGGACTAAGCTCGCTGCCTATTGGGACACTGCTAGGTATAAGTATATCAGTTGGTCGTGATTTATGACACGATCTTCCTGCTCAACTTCATCATCCACTATCAAATCCATCCCTTTGATGATTCTGCTTCTCATCATTCATTTCATTAGGGTTCCATAACTTTCTTCTATCGAGTCTTAGTGCTTCACTTTGTGCCCTACGGTGGGCTCCAAATTGTTTGAGGCTGAAATGTTTCAGATGGGGTGTGAGGCATTTGAGGTTGTCACGGACTCGCTGGAAAGAAGGTGCCCCTTAGCTCCTGTGAGAATGGTCTTCAGGCGGGGCTTGAGACACTCTCCAAAGGTTATGTCTTTGAGAGGTAGGAAAGAAGAGTGAATTTAGTATTTGAGATACCATTAATGCAAAAGAGAAGGTATTTATACCCAACCTAGCAATGGTTAAGTCATTAAATGCGAGGTCAGGCATTCCTAAGGATGTCAAATCTCATAAGGGCGCCTCTGGCGATAATAAATGCTACGACAGGCAGATATCGAGGCTTCTTTGAGCCTGTTGCATCCTACGAAGAACATCTCTCTTGACTTCATTGCATAAGGTCTTTGATCTTCTAAGGCGGTCTTCCTTAGTCAACAAAACTGAGAGTTAAGCCCAATTGATTTGTTACCTATTCACGGTGTCCAACATGATCATGGGCCATCAAGCTCAACTAGCTCATCACTTGGCCCAACAACTGGTGTAGAAAATAGATTTTGTGTGCCTCGAAGTTAGAGGGGCCCTTGGACTTAAAGTGTGGAAGATTTCAACCTGGCTCTCTTTGCAAAATAAGCTTGTGCCTTCTTGATTGAGAATTATTTGGTGCCCTCATTATTGAGTTTTCAACTAGCTCATTCTTTGGCGCTTCTTCAATGCAAGTGCTCTCCAAATGCAATTTGCCCAGTTTGTTAGAACCAAACTGAATCTATACTACACACCTCTTTGCCTTCATTCATGCAGTCAGTTCCTGAAATAACATTTTCCCTTCTCACCCCCTATCATTTCAATCCATATCATTCTTCGACGGGTTTTGGTCCCTAAAAGAAACAATCCATCCTTGAAGTCTTATCCATGTGTATCTTCCTTTGATGAATATCTGAAAAGCGAGGAATGAATCTTCTTTCAAAAAACATTCCCCTTGCACCCTATTCATACATATGCAAACTTCTAAGGAATTCATCAAGTGGATCGTGTTCGAGGTTATCCCAGCCTCATCCCCCACCCTCATCTAGTCAGCTGAGGGAACCCAGTCTCATCTTTCTCCACTGCCAAGCAAACACCTTATGGTGATTCACTGTGATGGATGGTTCATAAGTGACTCTCAGCCGGGGACATATGGTGTTGTGGTTGTTGACCATCATGGACAAGTATGTGATCAGCAAGCTAATACTTTTCTTCGTTCCACCTCATTTGAAGCGAAAATGAAGACACTATTCGAATATCTTAAATTAGCACAAGAATATGGAGCTGAATGTGTCGTCCATTCATAGTGTCAAATTTTGTTACCAACACTTAGGGGTGGCAGTTCGGTTATTTTGGTTATAACCGGTAACCGATCGGCCAGTTATCGGTTAACCGAAATAACCACTTCCCCTACTGAAAACCGCCCGAAATAGGCTTCGGTTTCTCGGTTATCTCGATTATCGGTTAACCGAACGACTTTTTAGACCAAAAACCATTTCGTCCAGCCTCCGATAATCGACCGAAGTTCGGTTACTTCGGTTACCGGTTAGTGGATAATCGGTCGGTTACCGACCGGTTAACCAGTAACCAAACTACCACCCCTACCAGCACTTATGCAGTTATATAGTTATCGCTTTCCCTGTATGTCTCTAGTGTGGTGAGATGTTGAAGCATTGAATAAGCATTGATTATGTTTGTGGTTTGGTGGTTGAGCACATTTAGAGTTAATTTAATGTTGTTGGTTGTGGATGAGTCAGACTCCTAGAGGCATGACAGAGTGGATGAGTCATTTTAATAATAGTCTTAGTTGTTGTGAATCATTTTTATTTCAGGTAGTTGGGCAACATTGTTAGAAAAAAGCGACGAACGTGTCCATATACAGCCACACAACCCTGCAGAGTGTCTTTGCATGTACATGAAATATGCTCACAACAAGGGATATAGTGTTCGTATTCAACGGCGTAGATGGAAGATTGTGAAAAATGGAACTGGTGAATCATTTAAGATAATGTACCTGCTTCATTTCGTTTGCAGCAAGGAAGGATGGAACAGGCAAAGCACATCTAGCCCTAACGCCTTAGAAAAACTTCTAGAGGCCCCTAAGGAGGCAACGTCAATTAGTGAAAGAAATCGTTTCGAACTCAGGACTGGTTGCTCAACATATGTGAAATTCAAGTGGGACGCTGATAGACAAGCATTCACCATTAAAGAATTTAATGGTGATCACAATCATCCATTACATAGCATAGAACACATGCATATGCTAACTAGCAATAGAAAAGTATCTTACATAGGAATGACAATGGGGCAGGTCCGAGGCGGGTTTCTTGGTACCTAGACCCGCCCCGTGGCAGATCGGGTCTAGGTCAGGTAATTTATCACGGATCGCAGGTTGGTGCAGGTCGACCCAATGGGTATTGAATTTATATGAAAAATATTAGAAAAATTCTTTACTTTTATTATAAGACCAAGAAATGGTAAATGTAGTTAAAGTATTAGAGAAATTGAAGTTTTCACTAATTTACAACTTTATTATTGCCAAATTATGATGTATAAAAGAAAAATCCTAAGTAATTTGACTAATATTACATGTAATTTAGGCAAGAACGGGTCAAGAATGGGGCGGGTCACGGCAGGTCGGGTCGATGAGAGTACCCATGCTCGCCCCGTCCCGCCTACGGGGCGGGTCGGACTTGACCCATAACAGGCCAAATGGGTTGGGTAAAACGGGCCAGGTCAAAATTGCCATCCCTAATATGACTCTAATGGAAGGTTGATTGACGACAACGAGGATGGTGGCGTGAAGCTTAAATCTTCCTATGAGCTTCTTGTTCGATATGCTGGTTGGCACTCTAATGTAGGATTTCGCAAAAAAGACCACAAGAATCACCTTGGCAAACGAATGCAGAAAATAATGTAGCATGGCGAAGGCACCTATCTCCTTGAACATTTTAGGAAAGAACAAAGAAAGTATTCACTGTTTTACTATGAAGTGGAGGTTGATTCAGGCGAACAAATTGATGGCATCTTCTGGGCTGACCGAACGATGAGGTTAGATTATGAACTATTTGGTGATTCTGTCTTGTTTTAAACAAACAAAGAATATCGTCCTCTAGGTATGTTTATTTTTTAAATTACGATTTAGTATAGATTTATTTATTGTGAAATCTCAACTTGTAATGTTAATCGGCAGCTCTGTTTGTGGGGTTCAACCACCATATGCAAGTGATGGTATTTGGTGTGTGTCTGTTGTATGACGAGACAATCCCCCTGTTTCGAGTGGTTGTTTACTATGTTCTTTCATTGCATGAAGGGCCAACAACCTGCAACTTTGTTCACTGATCAGTGTTCTGCCATTTCTGTTGTTGTGAAATCAAAATTCTCTACTACCTATCTTGCATTGTGAACTTGGCACCTCCGGACCAATGTTGAGGACCGGCTAGGGAATGTTGCACGGTCTGAAGAATTTAAACGTCACATTGCATTCTTGTTTTACCATGTTGATACCCCGGGGTAATTTGACATTGCATTGCATGGAATGTGATGATAGAATAATGCTTTGTTGGGGTTGACATAGAGAAGGAGACTTATGTTCTGCTTGGATCAAGACGAATTTCACTGCTAGGATGATGACTATTTAGGCAAGTGAGTCGTGCAATGCGTCGGTGAAGTCATTTCTATACGGGGGAGAAAATTATCCACTTCTTCACCTAACTCAACTTGTAAGATGTATGGTTTTGCCTGTTTTTTAAATTCATTCTATTTTGGCAAAAAATATACTAATTTAGGCAATCTTCTTGTAGCATCTTGGTGCAAAGGAGGAAAATTGAGCATTTGTCTAACTATAAGGCCATCAACAGTAGAAGATACGACGTGTCTGATAGACCTCAGAATCTAGTGTGTGAAAGATGCGGTGAATTGAGAATTAGGTGAGATCGATTAGGGATTGATCTAGGGATTAGGATTTGGAAGAACTGAAATATAGAGAGGTAGTGAGGGTTCGGCCGAGGCCTAGGGAAGAAGAGAGGAGTTTGGCTGGAGAGAGGATGAATAGAGAGAGGATTAGAGTATTTTGATATTCTTATTATGCTTAACCGTAAACCTAGCTTACACCGATATTTATATTATCCGACAATTATCCCCTTTACTACCCAAAATAATAACCAAACCTTAATACTCCCTCCCCATCAATGAACCAAATAATAACAATTCCTAAATAATCATAAAATGTTTCCATCATCCCCTTCCCCTTGAAGAGAAACCTTGTCCTCAAGGTTGATCCTTCTCGCTTCGCTCCTCCTTCGAATCCAGTCCATCGTCCTCGTCCACCTCGGCCTCCCAGTATCCCAAGAGCATCATCAAATCTGGCTTTGCGCACTGGTGCCCAAAAGTAAACTTCTCATTAAAGTTGAAGCATTTTCCTTCCCTCCTCTTTTGCTCGATCACTGCAGGAGTTAGGCGAACAACCCCCTTCAACGGTGCGCGATTCCGGCTCGAGCCGTTCCTGGTCCCATTGCCGCAGCAGTTCCCGGGCTTGTGCTAATGCCGCCTACATTTCCACCTCCACCACTCACCATCGCCACACACGATCTGCCGCCCTGCCCGACCTCTAGTAGCGCCCCATCGCGCTCCTCCAGTTC